TCATGGTGATGCTCAGCCTCTCCCCTAAACTCCTAACAGTCATCCTCATGTCAACCACAACATACTCGTAGAAATGTGTGTGTAGTTGTTGATACATTGCTGACAGAGGGAACTACTCATCTCACAATGTCGCTTGGGGGCCCCAGTTGGCCCTGCTTGTGCTGTCGCTCCAACACATTTTACGTGATAGGCTAAGGGGCGGGACATCTCTAAGCGGTTGACCAATCACAACAGAGCCGACCAGCTAACCAATCAGAGCAGACTGGGCTCTGGTTTCAGACAGAGGGTGAAAAGAGGTGCTGCAGCACAGGCAGTATGAGAAAGAGCTTTTTGAACATTAAAGCATGGAGACATTTCCCAGTAGAGACTACATACTGATATGAACCTGAAAGTGATTAGAATAGAGGCCCTTTAAAACAAGATTACACCTAGCGGTTTTTATTAAATTGATGAGTTGGATAAATGATAATTCATTGCACAACATCAAACTTGTTGCTTTTAAGAGAAATGTTCTGTAATTATGTTGTGCCGATCATTTTTTTATTTCACAGTAAACTGAGCGGTGTGTGTGTGTGTGTGTGTGTGTGTGTGTGTGTGTGTGTGTGTGTGTGTGTGTGTGTGTGTGTGTGTGTGTGTGTGTGTGTGTGTGTGTGCTATTTGGCCTGTGCTGACATACAGCAGAGGAACACTGACCTTGCATCTGGTCAGTAATCCCATCAGTGTTTAATAACTTGATCCGAGTGTTACGGGTTCATTATATCAGAGGAATCAGGCTCTGGTTTTCTTCTGGTGGCACACCGTGTTGGAATTGGCTCCCCGGCAATTTATTTTTCTATTAGCAGAGCTGTGTGAAGTGTGATTGGCCCACAGGTTGGTGGAGGAGCTGCTGGACCCGATAAGAGGAGCGTCAGAGACTCTCTCTGCTGATTCACTGAAGATATGAAGCTGAGGAGAACCAGCAGGAAAATGTCAACTCATCATTTTTTTGGCTTACAATTTAAGCATTTTAAGATACATTCCCTGATTCTGTTATAATACCTGGTGCTAAAATAAAAAGTAGAATCAAAATAAAAACATTCAGGGTTTTTTTCTTCTCATAAATGTGAGGATTTGTATTGGTGCTATACAGTGGTGTAGTGTGGATTTTTTTTACTGGGGAGACGCTATTTTAATTAGGTCATCCCAAACAATGCCACACAAGTGCGCATGCGCGCAGTGCACTCACAAAACGGGCAGTGCACTCACAAAACGGGCAGACAGTTCCACAGAAACTACCGGTATGCTTAGTCCTACTTTAGTTACTGTACTGCAAAAAGCAGACGGCGCTGCGCTCAACACACACACAGACTCAAAACCATGGACACACAGGCACATAAGTTACATAAACAATTTATAGGCCTAAATTGCATAAGCTACACAGTATTGCAACTAAGCAGACAGTGCTGCTTCTCTCTCTATCTCTCCACTTTCAAAATCTATTTAAAACTCATAACAAACAAACAAAATGTCCAAAGTTGTCCTGAAATTAACTTATTAAATAAACAAAACGAAAAATATAGCCATACTTATGCAAACAACATTGAATCTGGACTTGACATTATTCTGATTATAATTGCAAATAAGCAGACAGCGCTTCCGCGCTGCCACACACACACACACACACACACACACACACACACACACACACACACACACACACACACACACACACACACACACACACACACACACACACACACACACACACACACACACACACACACACACACACACACACACACACACACACACACACACACACACACACACACACACACACCTTGGGTTTTGAAGACTGATAAATCTGAAATGGATGAACAAACTTTGCAGCCCAGTTTCCCAGCTTTGCAGTCTATCCACGGGTAAGCCTCTTGTTTCCTCCGCCACATCTCCTCCGTCCATACCTCTGGGAAAGGTGAGCTTGAGCTAGCCAGGGGAACGTTGCTAGCGCAGCTAACGTGCACGTTAGCTAGCATTATCCACGTCTTTAGGCGGCTCTTCTGATGATGTATTACTAGCAGCTTCGGTGCTGCTAGCCTCTTTCTTCTTGTGAATTATATTCTTTTTAGAAAAGAAGTCAAGTAAAACATGTTAGCCTGCCATTATAGAGCTTTTTCGTTAGTGTTCTTGAGGGAAGGAGCTGCCGCAAAATCGGCGGGCGCGGCGAGCTGGCTCGCCGTGGGTGTGTCAGTGACCGCGGGGTCACGAGCGTGATGAAGAATCATACTTTTTTAAGGAAATCGTTTTTATTTTTTATTATAATTACTGTGAAATGTATTATGTTTTCGTCATTATTACAACAAATACACACTTGCAACTGATAACACTGGCAATGATTTTATATTTATTAGACTTAAAAAAAAGATCATGCTCCAAATAAGTGGGGGTACGGCGTACCCCCGCGTCCAACGCCCACTACACCACTGGTGCTATAACAGAAGATGGCCACACCTGCAACTTTTCAAACTAGCTGAATGTCGTTGTCTTCTGCAGTTACACTCGTTCAGTACACAGCACACTACATACACAAGCATGCACATAAAAGACCATTTGTGTTTCGAGTTTTTACAAAAAATGTGCTGTGAAACCAAAAGTAGAAGCTTAGAGAGGCCAAAAAGTGAAACGATTCATAACAAAACCCCGCAGTAATCAGAGAGATAGTCAATCTGACCAAACCTGAAGTGAATCTGTGGAAATGTGTAGGAGTTATAAAGTTTGACACATGTCAATCGCTTTGTTCTTCGGCATAAAATATGGCAGTAATTACCCCACTGATAAATGTCTAAGCTTCTATGTGTCTTTAAACAGTGGGTGTCTAAATGAGACTACAGGTGCAAACGTGGTACAACAAACACTTTTCCATCAGGAGAAATGTGCTGCAGCTAAAAAAAACATCAAGGGCTCCGGTCCCAGCTGTGTGCTAATTATTATTGGTTAAATGCCTATGGGAAGCACTTTGAAATTGCCTCTGTCTTAAAATGTGCTATACAAATAAACTAACCTTGAACCTTTCATCCCTTTTTAGTGTCCCCTGGTTTCAGTTGTGTTTAGAGCTTCGTGCAGCTTTTTGTTTATGCAGCACTTTTAGTATATTTCTTCAAGTTGGTGAAGATGTTTCTTCATTTGCATGTGTTGTTGCACATTTGTGTTTTTTATATTTGCACTGTTTTGAAAACTGTTTCCTCTAATGGAAACGTTTTGGGCTGTTGTAGCGTGTCGGCTAGCGTCTTTTTCTTCACTAATCCAAAGTCTAATAAGAATCCTATTGGCTTTTTGTTGAGGGCGCTCTTGTGATGCTAACTTCCTGGTTGGCCTTCAGATAAAATGTCGTCCCTTCATCACTCTATTCCTTTCCAATTTGACAATTCGTGATGACACTTCAGATCATGGTTCATACAGTACTTGCCCCCAGAACTTTTGTATTACAGCAGAGATGGAAAAAGTACACATCCTTTACTCAAGAAGAAGTACAGATACTCATGTTTAAAAATACTCTGGTTAAAGTAGAAGTACTGACTAAAGTTCTTTACTCAAGTCAAAGTAAAGAGGGCTTTGAAATGTACTTCAGTAAAAAGTACCCATAACTCCCAGCTGTTTTAAAGAGTACCTGACCTCCCTTTATATTAATAGAACAATAATGTCATTGTTAGCTAATGAATGTTTCCATGCTGAACAACGGCAACATGACAACGTTTCCATTGGTCCCTCTTCTTCAGAGAAGACCAGGAAATGATGGATACACGGATCGTGTTCAAATCAATAGGCACGCAATGACTCTGAAGAATAATGATCACGCACCAAACTAAAGGAACCAGCTGTTTGGAAAATGAGAGAAGTAGAAAGTTCAGGTATTTGAGTTCAACATGTAAGAAGTAGAAAGTACAGGTATTTGAGTTCAACATGTAAGAAGTAGAAAGTACAGGTATTTGTGTTCAACATGTAAGAAGTAGAAAGTACAGGTATTTGTGTTCAACATGTAAGAAATAGAAAGTACAGGTATTTGTGTTCAACATGTAAGAAGTAGAAAGTACAGGTATTTGAGTTCAACATGTGAGAAGGTAAATTAAAAACTAGTCAGAAATATAAGTAGTGGAGTAAAGTATTGATCCCAGAAACATTTACTTAAGTACAGTAACAAAGTATTTGTACTCCACTACTTCCCACCTCTGATTACATTTATTGAAACTGTGTATAGCACATCCGCTGAAGAGAAGCCTTGTTGTGGGCTGAAGGAACAGTCACCCTGTAATAAAGCAGGCTGAGGTCAGCAGACTCCCCATGTGACGGCCCACCGCCCTGGATTAGCTGCTGTAAGCCTATTAAAGCGCTCTGGACTTCACTCAGTCCCTGCAGGATGCTCACAGTGCTGCAGGAGCCGGCTGAAACTCAGGCGTCACAACAGGCCGGACGTCCTGCTGCTGGAGTGCCCTTCAGCCAGCGAGTCACTCCGAATAATCAGGTGTATTCCTGAATTTAAATGTGGCATTATGGACATGAACACTAGAAATAGAGGAAAATTGCAACAACACAAAACGTATTTATTACCATTTTGTCAACACCAAGTAGGTTAACAGGTAGCTCTGAGTTTATAATACTGACTTTAAGTCTTACATGTCCACCATTGATGTAAAATAAAGATATGAGAGTAGACTGGAGACTTTTTGATGCTGCTGCAAGGTTTATTCTATGTGCATGCTGCAAATATGGGTTTAATTTGTCCATCTTATGTTATGCATCCTATTCAGTATAGGATACATATTATTTTCTATTTAGTCCTTTACATTTAAAATCGTATTTTATATATAGTTTCCAGCTTATATGTCCTTGCATATAGCCTTATCCTTGAAGGATAAATGCACATTTGTACACGTTAGTATCAAAAGTCAGTGTACAACAGGCGGTCTATTTAAAAAAAGTAAAACAAATAGAAAGACGGAAAACACAAGCTGTTTTGTTGTGCTTTAATTCAGACGGTGAACAGCATCAGATGAAACTGAAATTAAACAAAATAAACTAAATGTTTTTAAAGATACTCTGTTGCTCACATCTTCCCTCCCTGCCCCCCCGGCTGCAGGGAGCTGAAGCGCAGCAGCGGGACGTCCCTGAAGCCCCGGGCAGGAGGGGGTGGGGGGGGCAGCTCAGAGTCAGCATGATAGTGGTGGGTGCTGGTGTTGGTGGTGTTGTTGTTGTTGGGGTCGACGTGGCCCCGCAGCAGGAAGGCCCCCCTGTGGTGGCGGAGGTACAGCAGCCCGGCGGCCCCCAGCAGCAGCAGCAGCACCGAGCTCAGCAGGAAGAAGAGAACGTAGACGCCTCGAGACTCTGAGGACGAGCTGCAGCCTGAAGAGACAACAGGAAGTCAGGGGACCATCACATCTGGACAATAAGACAAAGGGCTCTGAACATAGACATGTAGAGGCTCAGTCAGTAGGGACTGTGAGCCATAGGGTCGCCGGTTCGAGTCCCCGAACAGACCTAAATATGGAGTGTGGACTGCTACTTGGAGAGGTCCCAGTTCACCTCCAGGGCCCTGTCGTGGTGCCCTTGAGCAAGGCACCGGACATTTTCTTTCTTTCTTACAATAATACAAATACCTGTACTTTCTACTTCCTACATTTTCAAAACAGGCTGTACTTTAGTCTTAATCTGCATTTCATTACATTTATTAGAGCACATATTACACATAAGACATGCAACAGTGAATACAGCAAGTTTGGGTGAAGTGCCTTGAGTAAAGAAGTTTAGTTAGTACTTCTAACCAGAGTATTTTTTAAACACGAGTATCTGTACTTCTACTTGAGTTAAGGATGTGTGTACTTTTGTACTTTCACTGTGTGTGCATGATCATGTGTGACAATTAAAGAGGGTTTCATCCTCCAATTCTATCTATTCTGACATAACACACACATAACACAGGGACCCACCACCAACTGTCCAACATGGGAGCTACACACAAAGACTGTCGTTCTTTAGTGTCGTTTTGTAGTCGTTGTGCGTCTCTTTAGGGTCAATTTGTGTCTGGTTTTGGTCATTTTGTATGTCTTAGCAGTTGTTTTGTGTTTCTTTTGTGCCATTGAAGTTGTTAAGTGCATCTTTGTTGAGGTGTCATGAGTAATTGTAGTCAACGTGTGTTTGTCTCCATTTCTCTCCATCGTCGTTTTTGTGGTCGTCTGGAGGGTATTGTTTGTCTGTGCTTGTTTTGCCCATACTGTGTTTGTCTTTGTGGTTATTTTCCTCTTATTCAGTCATTTCGACTCTATTTTTCTGATATCTCTGTGTAGTCTTTCAATGTTTCTTTGTGGTGTCTCTTCCTTGTGGGTCAGATCAGTATCCCTCCTTGCTTCTGAACTCTTTAACTGTGTTCATCTTAATTAAATCTGTGTATGTGTGTGAGAGAGTCCAGCTCACCTGCAGCGTTCTGATTCACACACACAGTTCCTACCAATCCGAGGCGGGACTCGTCCTGGAAACCTGACCTGCAGTGACACGAGTACGATCCAAACCGGTTCTCACAGTCTGCGTTAAGGTCACAGCGCACCAGCTGCGACAGACACTCGTCCACATCTGAAACACACATACACATGTATTAATGTTAGCAGCCTTTACTGAGCTGTGTAACTTCCTCCTAAGGTGGTGCACGTCCATTCTTCTGTTAGTTACCTTCCACAGTTGGTTTTAGGATCCTGCCACAAATACATTTACTCAAATCATTTTTTAATTACACATCTGACACCCGCCGCCATATACATTATCAACCCAATAAATGTTTTCTTTCCTATTTAAAAAACAATTATTTATCGTTTACAAACCGAACAAATTGAATAATTAGCAGATTAGTCTATAAGGAAAAAATGGTAGTTCAAAATGAGCAAAATAAAATTCTGCTTTCATATTAATTGAAGGAAATAACACATACTAGTATAACAGTTATATTTCTTATGTAAACACATTTAAAAAAGTTCTACACAAATAAACCCCCAAAAATTAACAGAATTGTATTCAGGCCTTGAAACTAATTCACCAGAACTTACAACAGTATGTTTTACTTGAAGTGAATATATTTGCCCATTATTTGTACGCAGTTTGAATCTTGATGCTTTGGATAAAAAAAAACATCAGCCAAATGAAATGTAATTAAAGTCAGCAGTTTAAAATAAAGTAACTTTTCCACACTGTGTCAAACTGAAGCCCAGCTGTACCTGCAGTGGACACGGAGAGGATGACGGCCTTCCTGCCGTTTGCTCTGACGCCCACGTGTGTTGAGATGAGTCCCTGCAGGGCGGAGTGCAGCGTCCTGTGGACCTGCAGACCTCCAGGACCCTGATCCAGCTGCAGCCACACGATGAACAGCGCTCCAGCACTCAGCCTGCAAACAACCAGGAGCATCACTGAGATCAGATCTGAGCTCACAGGTCAACAGGTACATCAGCTAGTGAGTGCACCAAGAGTTGAGATTGTTTGAGCTGTAATGTAAAATAACCACTTAAAGGTCACCTATTGTGCAAAATCCCCTTCCTCATGTCTCTTCTACATCAGCATGTGTCCCCTCTTCTTCATGTCTCTTCTACATCAACATGTGTCCCCTCTTCTTCATGTCTCTTCTACATCAACATGTGTCCCCTCTTCTTCATGTCTCTTCTACATCAACATGTGTCCCCTCTTCTTCATGTCTCTTCTACATCAACATGTGTCCCCTCTTCTTCATGTTCTCTTCTACATCAACATGTGTCCCCCTCTTCTTCATGTCTCTTCTACATCAGCATGTGTCCCCTCTTCTTCATGTCTCTTCTACATCAACATGTGTCCCCTCTTCTTCATGTCTCTTCTACATCAACATGTGTCCTCTCTTCTTCATGTCTCTTCTACATCAACGTGTGTTCCCCTCTTCTTCATGTCTCTTCTACATCAACATGTGTCCCCTCTTCTTCATGTCTCTTTTACATCAAACGGTGTCCCCTCTTCTTCATGTCTCTTCTACATCAACAGTGTCCCCTCTTCTTCATGTCTCTTCTACATCAACGTGTGTTCCCCTCTTCTTCATGTCTCTTCTACATCAACATGTTTCCCCTCTTCTTCATGTCTCTTCTACATCAACATGTGTCCCCTCTTCTTCATGTCTCTTCTACATCAACATGTGTCCCCTCTTCTTCATGTCTCTTCTACATCAACGTGTGTCCCCTCTTCTTCATGTCTCTTCTACATCAACATGTGTCCCCTCTTCTTCATGTCTCTTCTACATCAACATGTTTCCCCCTCTTCTTCATGTCTCTTCTACATCAACATGTGTCCCCTCTTCTTCATGTCTCTTCTACATCAACATGTGTCCCATCTTCTTCATGTCTCTTCTACATCAACATGTGTCCCCTCTGTGGAAAGAGACTCTGGAAGTTTCAGGAACAAAGATTCTCTCTCTTTTTGATCCATTTCTATAAAAACCTGTCTGAAAATGAGCTGATCAGATTTTGGCCACTTTATGATGTCATAACGATGTTTTGTCTTGTGTAATCATTAGCCAATCACCAACCAAAGTAACCCCCCCCCCTTATCACCTGAATCTCCTCCTAGAGCACCATTGTGTTCTTTGTAACCAAATATCTCTCAGAGGGGCATGGGGAGGGGCTCCTTATTTTAATCTAAAGTAACAGACATAAGCCTCATCCCAATACCCCTCCTCGACTCCTCTCTTCCCCTCTTCCGGGACTTGACCCGGAAATCGATCAAGACACACCATTTTGAAGGACGTCCCAATAGCTGAAATGCGAGTCGAGGAGGGGTGAGGGAGGAGACGAAAGTGAGGATACACGGGAGCAGACTACGCGGAAGTGCTTTCACTACTCGCGTATAAAAGCCCCGCCCCCACCTTCACAGCTGGTCCATTTCAACAGAGGAAAAAACCGACAACTGGAAGATGAGTGGAAAAGTGCTCACAGCTCCGTGGGAATTATTATGTGCAATTCATTTCTAAAAGGCTTTCACATTACTATAATTATATTTAAATGTAGGCTACATTTTACACCAAAACGGAACACAAAAGCAGGACCAACCATCATACATTGAATTCCTTGACTAACAAGAGAAAGATTCATTCATTTAAATAAATATTTAACCAGAAATGGGCCGGTTCTAAAGGTTATTCAGTTAAGCCCGATGAGAGGGGATACAGCTGTGCACATGTCATCATTAAAAGACGTCGTTTAAGAGTGACGTTTGAGTGAACGAGGACATCCCAATTAATACCTGAGGACTCCTCTGTCCTCGCGTCACCTCCTCGTGTCTCTCGCTCGCATCTTACGGAGGCGGAGCTAAGATGCAAGGAAGGGACACGAGTGAGGGAAAGGAGGAGTCGAGGAGGGGTATTGAGATGAGGCTAGAGAATCAGCACTTTGGAAACAGGGCTGAAACAGAGGGGATTATGGGATGCCGCAATGATCTGTTTGGTGTTTCAGCCAATCAGAGACATGTTATAGACCTGTAATATATTGATGAAAAACAGTAAGGGGACCTTTAAGAGTAATTTCACAAAATCATGTTTCCTTGATTGATCACTTTTTGAACCTCTCTTCATGTCTTTAGTGAGAGGATCTAAGATGCAAGTGAAGGTAACAAGGTGGCCAAATGCTTGTTTACTTCAACAATACAAGGTATTTGAAAAGCCTGAAAAATGAATATTCAAAGCTGAAAACAGGTATGTTTTCTGAGCTCATGTTGGATAGAATAACCAAAACATTCATGCTTTAAAAAAAAAAAAAGGCAGAAAGGGAGCCTTGCTTCACAAAAACATGTTTCCTTGCTTTCTCTTTTCTTGCATCTCTCATGACGTCTTTAGTACGAGGAGAAGTAAACTAAACGAGGCAAAGTCACCAGACTTTCATTTGCTTTTCGTCTGCCTCCACAGGTTAAACATGTGTACCCTCTCTCTGTTTAAGTATCATAAACACAAACCTGCAGATTGTACTTTGAGTGTTGTTCACCAACCTTTTCATTCTTTCAGACGACATGGACAGCGGCGTATGCAGAGTCTCCAGCTGCTTACTGATCTACAGGAACACAACAACTTCAGGCATCAAATGCACCTGCTTCTTTTTAATAACAAACTCTACATGCATGGTAAATTAAGCAACCTTAAAGGGGCCCTATTGTGCTGATGTTCAGGTGTATATCAGTATAGTGTCTCTACTGGGACATGTCTCCATGCTTTAATGTTCAAAAAGCTCTTTATTGTCCTCATACTGCTTGTGCTGCAGCACCTCTTTTCACCCTCTGTCTGAAACAAGAGCCCAGTCTGCTCTGATTGGTTAGCTGGCCGGCTGTTGTGATTGGTCAACCGCTTAGAGATGTTCCGCCCCCTCACGTCATGTGTTGGAGTGATGTAATGGAGACGAGGGGAACACAGGGATTTTAGCCTTTGCACTAAAACCTATAGAACACACTACAGGAAAGGGAAAACCCCAAAAGCATATTATGACCTCTTTAAATTGTGTTGCTTTGTTGTCACCAACTCACCAAAGACTTCACAGTGAGCAGCAGGGACATGGCCAGGTTGTCCCAGCTCTCCTCCACATCTGGACGGAAGTTAATTTCCACAGCCACTTCAAACAGGTAATCTGTCAACACCCCAAAACACAGCGTCAGCCTCCTGCATGTGATGTTTGTATCCTGTGAAATATTAACAGAAAATAAACACATTTTGAAGATGTGCATTATGTGTCCAATACTCACCGCCAGGAAGATGTGAAATGCCAGAGTGATTTCTGATGCGGGCTGCGAGAGAGAGACACAAACAGCATTATGCTTCAACATGTGACTTTTCAAATCATTACTAAACATGTAACTTGTTTATATGGTCTAGAACAGTGCTTTTCAGGCAATGGCCTTAAAACAGACATGTCTAAATTATATAACTAGATGTATAACATTGTGATGCATATAAAACACATCGGTGGTTCAGGTATGTAGATTCAAATGTTTCCATTTGAAATATTTAGGTGACTGATCATGCATTATTTTCATTAAGGCCATCTAATCCAACCCTAACTACTAAATGGTCCCAAAATGTTAATCAATCTAAACATTGGGAAAATAATGGTTCAAATGAAATGCATTTCAGCGTAGAGTAAGTTGTTCTGAATGAAAACACAGATGGACTCACGGTGCGCTCTCTGGTCTGACAGCGGCTCCACCATGTTGGGATGAGGATGAGTCTCCTCTGGTTCTGGTTCTGATTCTGATTCTGGTTCCTCTGAGGAGACAGGAAGTTGATCCGAGGCCTCGATGACCTCCTTCCTGCTCTTATCGTCTGCAGACTTCTCCTTCTCTGCAGCAGTAGCTTCCTCTGGATGTGTCGAAGCTTCCTCCACAGCAGCTGTCGAGATGACTTCAGTGTGTTTGAGCTCCTGGTTCTGACTCTCCTCCTCCTGGTTCTGACCCTCCTCCTCCTGGTTCTGACCCTCCTCCTGGTGCTGTGGAGGGACGGCTGAATCTGACGGGTCTGAAGGGGTTTGAGAGGCTTCTCTACCCCATCGAGACGTTACCTGAGTGGATGATTCCACTGTGGGAGCGGCTTTTAACTGGCTGTAGCTCTCCAACGATGGACGGTGATTTTCAGCCACCTGAAGGAAAGATAGGTTTAGGTTAATCATTTGTATCTGTGGGTTGATTTGGTTAGATAGATAATGTAGATAGATAAGAACATGTCTAAGCCTATTTTCTGCAATATTACAAATTCCGTCACCCCTGCACCATTCTAATAGTGTGGATACAACCAATTTGGTAGAGCCAGGCATTACAGTTGAAGGTTTGATTCCCACCTCAGTGTCCGCATCCTCCTCATTCTCGGACATCATCTCTGAAGGCTGATTGTTATAGTCATACATGAGATCAGGATTTGGATCTAGAAGTTTATTTAACTCCAAGAGTCCAGAAGGAAGAGATTGTGACCCCATGTTTGTTTCTGGTAGTCCCTCCTGAGCGTTGTAAACCACGGGGGGTCCGAAGGCCTGTGGGAGAAATAATCAATATCCTGTGGCGGAACTTTAAGGGACATCATTTACTGTAGCAGTGTTGTTTTTTTACATACTAAACACACCGTCTCCAACTCTCACTCATATACGCTGCATTACTACTATTACTATGTGTTTAGTGACCAACAAACATCAGAAGAATTGTATAATAAAATATCATAAGAGATGCGCCACGGCTACGTCATCAGAGGACTACAGAAGAAGACCCGCCTCCGTCGACGTCAGCCAATGGAAGAAGTCTAAATACGATATAAATACGATGTTATAGAGAGAAACGATCTCTTTCATTCTTGCAACTGCAGACAGCTAACTGCTTAAAGTGGACTGTGGACCAGTGAATTGGATTTAGGAACCACAGCTGTGTTCCCTTGTAAATCTACTATTGCCTTAATATAAACTGTTCAACTTTTCGAGAAGCTTCCTGGTCTTCTTTACACTAACTCTTGGTCTTCAAACAAACAAAACATGAAACCTGGTATCGTCCGTAGAAGCCCCTGTAGGGTGGGGTGGGCCAACCCCCGATCAGCAGCACCAAGTACAGAGTGTTGGAGGACGACGTGTATTTGGCCTCTTTCCAGCACTTCTGCAGGACGTTGGTGCCCCCAAAATTCCCCGCGGGCTCGTCCACGTGCACCTGGTCGTCTTTGAGGTGGCAGGCGTCGTCGGGGGTCAGGTCCTCCAGGTACAGGTCGATCCTCCAGGCAGGGGCCACCTGGATGGTCCAGTTACACCACAGGGGGGGGTTGGAGCACATGTAGTCCGGGGAGTAGAAGTCCCCGGAGTCACCCTTCAGCAGCTGGTGGCAGCTCCGCAGGGCGAAGAAGGCGCCACCGTCTCCTCCACGACCTTCTGAGGGGAAACAGAACAACTGTGGCTTTAAAAAGGTCCCCTATTATACTGTTTCTCATCAATATATTATAGGTCTCAGATATACAAAACATGTCTCTGAAGTGTTTGGCTCCAAACAGATCATTGCAGCATCCCATAATCCCCTCTGTTTCAGCCCTGTTTCCAAAGTGCTGATTCTCTGTCTGTTACTTTAGATGAAAATAAGGAGCCCCTCCCCACGCCCCTCTGAGAGAAGAGAGATTTGGTTACAAAGAACACACTGGTGATCTAGGAGGAGATTCAGGTGATAAGGTGGGGGGTGTGTGGGGGGGGGGGGGGGGGGGGGGTTACCTTGGTTGCTGATTGGCTAATGGTTACACAAGACGAAAAAACCTTGTGACATCATAAAGTGGCCAAAATCTGATCAGCTCATTTTCAGACAGGTTTTTATAGAAATGGATCAGGACAAAAAGAGAGAATCTTTGTTCCTGAAACTTTCAGAGTCTCTCTACACAGAGGGGACACATGCTGATGTAGAAGAGACATGAAGAAGAGGGGACACATGTTGATGTAGAAGAGACATGGAGAAGAGGGGACACATGTTGATGTAGAAGAGACATGAAGAAGAGGGGACACATGTTGATGTAGAAGAGACATGAAGAAGAGGGGACACATGTTGATGTAGAAGAGACATGAAGAAGAGGGGACACATGCTGATGTAGAAGAGACATGAAGAAGAGGGGACACATGTTGATGTAGAAGAGACATGAAGAAGAGGGGACACATGTTGATGTAGAAGACACATGGAGAAGAGGGGACACATGTTGATGTGGAAGAGACATGAAGAAGAGGGGACACATGTTGATGTAGAAGAGACATGGAGAAGAGGGGACACATGTTGATGTAGAAGAGACATGAAGAAGAGGGGACACATGTTGATGTAGAAGAGACATGAAGAAGAGGGGACACATGTTGATGTAGAAGAGACATGAAGAAGAGGGGACACATGTTGATGTGGAAGAGACATGAAGAAGAGGGGACACATGTTGATGTAGAAGAGACATGGAGAAGAGGGGACACATGTTGATGTAGAAGAGACATGAAGAAGAGGGGACACATGTTGATGTAGAAGAGACATGAAGAAGAGGGGACACATGTTGATGTAGGAGAGACATGAAGAATGTGGTACTACACATTGGAACAAATGATGTTGTGAAACAACAGTCAGAAGTGCTGAAAGAAGACTTTAAATGTTTGTTGGAAACTGCCAGCTCTCTAAATGCAGAGGTGTTCATCAGTGGCCCTCTGCCGCCAGTCAGAAGAGGAGTGGAGAGATTCAGTAGATTGTTTGCACTGAACACCTGGCTTTCAACTGTCTGTACTGACGATTCTGTTCATTTTATTGACAACTTTAACCTTTTCTGGGATCGCAGACATCTTTTCAAGGCAAATGGAGTTTGCCTGAACAAGTCAGTTGTGAAATTGTTTATCTCTAACATATTCAACTGCCTGCGTTATCAATCTGTTCCATCTGCCAAGGACAAGCGGCAAGAGGAATCAAAACAGGAGAAAGACACAACACATCGCGCAGAAAACCCTGAAGAATTATCACTGCACCCGCCTGAGGAATGTTCTGATTATGGGAGACACATGGAGGAGTCTCCACTGCCCGTCACCCCCCCCCCTGTCAGCGCCTTTGAGGATACTCCGTTCACCCTTTCACCCTCGCCCACCCTCCTGGGGATCGTTGAACACATGAAGGAGATACAGAGGGTTGGCACCGATTCCTTCCTGGAGTTCAAAGACCAAACTAAGGCGATACGCAGGGCTGGCACCATGTCCTTTACCCCCGCTCCTCAACGACGCCCACCAAAATCACCGCAGAGATGCGCACCATCTCCCCCGTCTTCATCACCGTGCCTACGTTGGCCGCCTCCCCTCCCTTCGAGAGGGCATCTGCAGTCTCCGAAGCCTGATAAGGATGTGTGTGTACTAAACGCTGCAAACTGATATCTGCTGGGTCCAGGCTCAAGGGCGTATGGCACTCTCAACTCTTTCCAGGACATGTCGGGGGCCTGCCAGTAGCTTTGCCGATATCTGTGTTGATAGGTAATAGATTAAGAGCGGTGAATCATAGAAACAGGAAGCGCTCAAACGTTTGTGTGAGTTTATCAAATTTAGCAGTGATTCCATGTCAGCCACAGCTTGTTACAAAAAACATGACTGATAGTGTGTTTAACAAACTTAAACTAGCTTTATTAAATGTCAGGTCTTTGGCAGGAAAAACATTTTTAATCAATGATTTTATCACTGAGCACAATCTCGATTTTATGTTTTTAACAGAAACTTGGATTGAACAAAATAACAGTGCAGCTGTTCTTATCGAATCAACCCCTCCCAACTTTAGTTTTATGAGTCAGGAAAGAATGCATAAGAAAGGGGGTGGAGTTGCTATTCTGTTCAATGATTCCCTTCAATGCAGGAAGACATCGTATGGAAACTTTGATTCTTTTGAATATGTGGCCCTTCAGCTGAAATGCTCCTCTCGAGCTCTGTTCCTAAATATCTATAGACCACCCAAATACTGTGCAAGCTTTTTTGATGACTTTACTGAACTGCTGTCTATAGTGTGTATTGACTTTGACTGTCTAGTCATTGTTGGTGATTTTAACATCCATGTTGACAACCCCCAGGACAGAGGGGCTAAAGAACCGTTTTGTGTTCTTGATAGCTATGGACTGACTCAGCATGTGACGGAGCCCACGCACAATAAGGGGCACACTCTGGACTTAATTATCTCAAAGGGTCTGAATATCTCTAAGGTTGTGGTGACTGATGTTGCACTCTCTGATCATTCCTGTGTGTTCTTTGAGAGCTCTATTTTTGTTCACAAAAATGTTCAAAAAGAGGTAACCACAAAGCGATATTTAACTGAAAATACTAGGGAAATGTTTACTCAGAATTTCTCTTCCACACTTGCCCCTGCTAACATCTCAGTAAATGAGCTAGTAGATCATTTTAATTCAAAAATGTAAAATGTTATAGATGCCATTGCTCCAACTAAGGTAAAGGAAGTGACTGGCAAGAAAATATCTCCATGGAGAAAGGCCATGAGCGTGAAAACAGAAAAAAGAGAATGTCGAAAAGCTGAACGCAGGTGGCGAAAAATAAATCTCCAGGTTCACTTTGAAATCTATAAAGAGAGACTTGGTCTTTATAATTTGGAATTGAAAAACGCACGACAATCATTCTTCTCTGACATCATTACCAAAAACAAAAACAACGCACGTGCCTTGTTTGCTACCGTCGACAGACTAACTAACCCCCCAGTGTCAGTAGCCTCTGAATTTCTATCCACCAGGGCGTGCAATGATTTTGCCTTTTTCACTGACAAAATTCAGAAAATCAGACAAGCAGTCAGTGCCTCTGCATCAGGAACAGCAAATGTGTTGTCTCTGTGTCCACTTAACATCAATTCAGACATCATGACACAATTCCATCAGATTAATGATAAAAACCTAGAGGACATTATACAACTTCGGAAATCCTCCTCCTTCTGCCTTGATATTATTCCAACAGGATTTTTTAAAGATGTTTTTCGTTGCATGGCCTCAGATCTACTTCATATAGTAAACAAATCTCTTCACTCAGGTATTTTTCCACAGGCCCTGAAAACTGCAGTCATTAAACCGCTTTTAAAAAAGAATAATCTAGATGCTTCAGTAATGAACAATTACAGGCCCATATCAAACCTGCTATTTCTAGGTAAAATCATTGAAAAAGTTGTTTTTCAACAGTTGAGTAATTTCTTGCATTTAAATAACTGTTTCGATGTGTTCCAGTCAGGCTTTCGTCCAAACCACAGCACTGAGACTGCTCTTGTAAAGGTCTTTAATGACATCCACTTAAACACAGACAGTGGCAGAACTTCAGTGTTAGTATTATTAGATCTCAGTGCTGCGTTTGACACTGTTGACCACAGCATATTACTAGACCGACTAGAAAACAGGGTGGGACTTTCGGAAACAGTTCCAAATTGGTTTGAATCCTACTTAAAGGACAGAAACAACTTTGTTTCTATAGGTAAATACAAATCTGAGTTGACAAATATGACATGTGGGGTTCCTCAAGGCTCCATCTTGGGGCCTCTTCTCTTTAACATCTACATGCTACCACTGGCTCAGATAATGAAAAACAACAAAATAAGTTACCATAGCTATGCAGATGACACACAAATGTACGTAACAATTTCACCAGGAGACTATGCTCCAATTCAAACACTGAGTAAGTGCATTGAACAAATCAATGACTGGATGTGTCAGAACTTTCTCCAATTAAACAAAGATAAAACTGAGGTAATGGTTTTTGGAGCCAAGTCAGAACGTATAAAAGTTAGCGCTGAGCTTCAGTCTGCAATGTTCAAAACAACAGATAAAGCTTGAAATATAGGTGTAGTCATGGACTCTGACCTGAGTTTCAACAGTCACATTAAAACAGTTACTAAATCAGCCTACTATCACCTAAAGAACATATCTAGGATTAAAAGACTAATGTCACAGCAGGATTTGGAAAAACTTGTCCATGCTTTTATCTTCAGTAGACTCGACTACTGTAATGGTGTCTTCACAGGTCTCACTAAAAAATCTATTAGGAAGCTGCAGCTGATTCAGAACGCTGCTGCTCGAGTCCTCACTAACACTAAGAAAGTGGATCACATCACTCCTGTTCTGAAGTCTTTACACTGGCTTCCTGTGTGTCAAAGAATAGATTTCAAAATACTGCTACTGGATTATAAAGCTCTGAATGGTTTAGGCCCAAAATACATTTCTGATCTACTGCTAAATTATGAACCATCCAGAACTCTCAGGTCCTCAGGGACTGGTCAGCTTTCTGTCCCCAGAGTCAGAACTAAACATGGAGAAGCAGCGTTTAGTTATTATGCTCCAAATATCTGGAACAAACTCCCAGAAACCTGCCGGTCCGCTGCAACTCTGACTACTTTTAAATCCAGGCTGAAGACTTTTCTTTTTGTCGCTGCTTTTAATTGAACTATTCATATCTTAAACTGCACTGTAACTTTTATCCATGTATTTTTTCTTTTAATGTTTATTTTATTAGCTTTTCTTTTTAATGACTGATTTTAAATGCCATTTTCATAATGTCTTTAATTTTTTGTAAAGCACTTTGAATTGCCCTGTGTTGAAAAGTGCTATATAAATAAACTTGCCTTGCCTTGAAGAAGAGGGGAAACATGGTGATGTAGAAGAGACATGAAGAAGAGGGGACACATGTTGATGTAGAAGAGACATGAAGAAGAGGGGACACATGTTGATGTAGAAGAGACATGAAGAAAAGGGGACATATGTTGATGTAAAAGAGACATGAAGAAGAGGGGACACATGTTGATGTAGAAGAGACATGGAGAAGAGGGGACACATGTTGATGTAGAAGAGACATGGAGAAGAGGGGACACATGTTGATGTAGAAGAGACATGGAGAAGAGGGGACACATGTTGATGTAGAAGAGACATGGAGAAGAGGGGTCACGTGTTGATGTAGAAGAGACATGGAGAAGAGGGGACACGTGTTGATGTAGAAGAGACATGAAGAAGAGGGGACACATGTTGATGCAGAAGAGACATGAAGAAAAGGGGACACATGTTGATGCAGAAGAGACATGAAGAAGAGGGGACACATGTTGATGTAGAAGAGACATGAAGAAGAGGGGACACATGTTGATGTAGAAGAGATATGAAGAAGAGGGGACACATGTTGATGTAGAAGAGACCTGAAGAAGAGGGGACACATGTTGATGTAGAAGAGACCTGAAGAAGAGGGGACACATGTTGATGTAGAATAGACATGAAGAAGAGGGGACACATGTTGATGTAGAAGAGACATGGAGAAGTGGATTTAGCATAATAGGTGACCTTTAACACGATTTATTTTAACTCTCTCACTTCACCTGAGACAGTACTTATTATCAGTTTACTCAACACTAGCAATAATAATAATAATACATTTGATTTGTAAAGCACCTTTCGTTACTAAAAGTCATCCCAAAGTGCAGTGGGTCTTTTCTTTCTTGTAGTCATGTTTGTGAAGTCATTGTTGATCTAATTACTATCTATTAATCAGGGTTGAGAGGGTCACTTTAAAAATGTATTCCAGTATATACAAGTAATGTTACCTGAATACTTTGCATTACTTTTGGATTAACTCAATATCAAGTTCAATTCTAATAAACACAAGCAAATAAATATACATAGGATGATTTGTACTTCAGTGTATTGTGTAAAACACCAGAAAAATGAGACCTAAGAAAATATGTATCTAAAACGTGTAAATGATAGGCTGCCTATAGAACAGTTTAAAAATGCTGTTTTGCATTAATAAAAAAGAAAACGCCATATTTTAGTTAAAGCTGCCATTTTCTTATATTTCCAACATGGTTTTCAGATTATTTTTAAATCAAGTAACACATATAGAAAGAGAGATGTCAATATAGATTTGATTTGAAGATTTGTGGTGAACATGGAAGGAAATTCTGAAATTTTAGATAAATCGTTAGATAATCGAAAAAAAAGTGTAGATCTGTGTTCACAGATTATTTTACCTGCTGATTATCAAATGCACAGACAAGTAAAAAGCCACACATTGCCATTCAAATCACATGACAAATACCTTTTGCTCGAGTGTCACCTGGAGGCTTGTTGGCTTCTTCTCTCATCACCTGCAAACACAAGAAAGCAAAAACAAACAATGAATTAAACTATGTTAAAGTATGAACACAAAACAATGTCTCTTGTTAATCCTACCTGTGAGTCACACTGCTTCCAAAATACTCCAAATATCAGCAGAAATATGAGCAGCAGTCTTTTAAAGCTAATACTGTTCTTTTCAGGCATTGTATTACTTTGTTTGTCTGTTAAACTTGTCTTAGTGCTTCACAGTTTTAGTTCAACTGCTGTTTGCCTTCCTGTGTGAGCAGCTGAAATTCATCAGGAAGCTGATTGTTTGCCTGCATGTGAATAGCTAATCCGTCCACCAGAGGTCCCCGTTGGGTTCAAATCTCAATCCTCATGTAATGGTTCAAATTCACAATTCACTTTTATCCAGCAGGGACAAATGCATAGTTTTTAAGACTTAAAATAACATAAATGTTGTAGCTGTGTTTGTACCAGTAAATATCCTATTCTTAAAGTCCTTACAAAACATTAGAACACAATTATCAATTGTTTAGAAGACCATTGTTACGACCCTGTTCGTTATGTGTATTGTGTGTAGAGATTTTTCCCTCCTCCTGTGTGTGTGTGTGTGTGTGTGTATGTGTGTGTGTGTGTGTGTGTGTGTGTGTGTGTGTGTGTGTGTGTGTGTGTGTGTGTGTGTGTGTGTGTGTGTGTGTGTGTGAGCAAGCAGGTGGTGCCCGTTAGCTGATTAGCTACCTTCAACAGGCTGATTGGTCCACCTGGGGAGACGGGAGGATATTAAGCTGCAGCCGTGCAGTTCCTCGGCCGCTCTCTCTGACTCAGCTTCTCCTGCTCCCAACTGTTGCGTATTTGTATCTGTCCTTGTGTACTTCTGTCCTTGTGTATATTTTGTAAACCTTGGAAGGATAGACATAACTTTAACCTGTCCTTGGACATGCCGTAAGTCTACGTGAAAGTGTGAAACCCTTTTCCTTTTGGTTGATTCTCGTTTTCTCCTGTTTTTACGTCAGTGTAGGTAAGAGAGCTGTATGTAGTGATGGCAAAATTAAGCTTTGAATGAAGCGTCGAACCACTTGGACAATTGTGTCGGAAATAGGTTCATTTCTCGAAGCTTCAGTTACCGCGACCTCTCCTGGCGAAGTGCAAGGCTGCAGTGGGTATAACGTATCTTTGCCTTGAAAAATATTCGATGCACACACACACTAAGACTGAATATCATGTTCTATTTGCAATTAAAGATTGATAATTGTGTGTATTGGGTTATTGAGAAGAGACTAGAGAGTTCTAGACATGTTTTTGGGCGGAGAGGGCCTTTTATCAGTTATTAAAGTTGAAAAGCAATGATTAAAATACGTCCATTCCGGGATTTGAACCAGCTGCGCGGAGGCTCTACCCACTGGGCTATCTATTCCTTGAAATATTTAACTGTTTTTATATTACTGATAATTGTCTTTTTGTTCACAACTTCTCCACATTTCGAAGTGTTTCCCGAGCCAGAACGACCTATCTTTCGTCCTGGCTTGCTCTATAATGATATCAAATCCAATAACAACAACAACAACTCAACAGCAACAACGCAAACTACGACAACAACCCACACATTGTGCATTGTTTAGAGCGGTCATAAAGTGTTGAGGCACTCAAGTTTGAACCTGTCACCTGTCAGAATCGAGACGAGGCAGTGCATTGAATCGCGTGAATGGACCGCGAACCAGTCAAGTGATTCATTCAGGAAATGAAGCAGTTGCTGCTTCGGACGTCACATGTCACGTGATTTGAAGCAAGCTTCGAAGCACTGCTTCTATGGAATAGGAAGTCCAGGGTTGAAGCTCCGTTCGAAGCTTCAGTGTCAAACTGCCATCACTAGCTGTATGTTTATTTTCTTATTTGTTAGGCAAGATTTTTGTGTTCAGAGATTTGTTTGTTTTGTGGGTTGTTGCACTTATTTGTTAAAAAGAAAACTTTGGTAATTACATTTACCAAACGGCATTCACCGTCTCATTGTCTATGTTCTTGGGAGTGGGAAAAGAGGAGAGAGTGCACATTTTATGTTGCGCTAGGTTCCCCTGGATCTGGGCATAACACCATAAATAAGTAAACAATAAGCAAAGTAGATTGTCCAGAATGTGCATTAGTGCTACGGACAATCTTGCACTAAAGTACATTCTCAAAATATTGAAGTGACTGTTATTTTGTATATATTGATTGTTGTGATTTTTTTGTAGGTCGTAATGTGTGCATATGTAAAAATGTGTCTTTGACTATATATATATATATTTGTTTTTATATTCGGGATTGTGGGAAACGGTATTTCGATCTCTTTGTACACACAAACTGGAAGATTGACAATAAAGTTGACTTTAAAAGTAGTCAGTAAAGTATAAATAAGATTGTTAAAATATATATAAAATAGGCTTTATGTTACACTTCTGTCGACACCACTGTCTAGCAAGATAATATTTCTATTAATATTAACAATTAAAATAAGTGAATATCCTTTTTCATTATAACAACGATAAGAATAATACAAATATTCTCGTTAAAGAAAATGCAAACTTAAGCTATAAAAAATAATATCTTACTTATTACGTTTGGGTTATTGTCAACAAAATAATAAAAATATTGAATACAATCTATTCAATATGTATCCATAGGGAGGCGTGCGGCGCAGTGGACTAGTGCGTTGGTGTTGGGATCAGGGGTGCACAGGTTCAAACCCCACTGCAGTCAGCATGTCGTTGTGTCCCTGAGACACTTCACCCCAAATTGTTCCTGTGGGGATTGCCCACAGTATTGAGTATGTAAGTCGCTTTGGATAAAAGCGTCTAACAAGTAATGTCATTTAATCCAAAGGCAAAACACAAGAGATATTTTATTATTTTCACTTTGTGGAACAGATTTATAATGAACAAAATAATTGTAATAAACAAGTGTCAGCCCATTATATACAAATAATAATGAAATATTCTAATAAAATAAAATGCAAACTTAATTAAAATAAATAATAATGTCAAGTGAATGTGGAAATAAATAAATGTGTATTGTCAACTTAATAATAAAAAAAGGATAACAAAAACACAAGACATATTTTTTTATTCTCATTGGAACAGATCTGTATCATCAAAACCATTTAAACAAACCATTGAAAACAGGACCGTGAACCCAAACACATCTGTTGATGAAGGTAATGGAAAAACACATGTATTGCTTACAATATATTATTAAAATATAAATACAGAGAATGAATGCACAGTCACAGCAGCAACATCACATTTGAGATGTTAAAAACAGCACTGAGCATTTAATAATAACTACAAAATGTAGATTTTTAATGTATAAACTCTGTCGTCTTGTTTTGGCTTTACAGAAAACAGTCTGTGTGGGATCAGAGTTCATCTCCTTTTAGTAGAAGCAGTAGTAGTAAACGTTGTGATAAATGTAGGAAAATATCAGTTACCAACGTTTTTCTTCACACCCTACGTACCAAAAACCTATCTTTTACCACTAACACTGGTTTGTGTACAGTTGGCATGAATGCATGCATTTTGATTTAAAAAACTATTGTGTGCATATGCTATCTGGCTAACATTAGCAAGGGGTAATTTTTGTTTGGTCAGTTTCCCAAATGCTTACTTTCAAGTATTATACTGATAGTTGAAACGCAAATATTAGATGTGTCGAGACCGCTTAAAAACACTGTTGATAACTAAAATAAAATATGACTAACTCACAGGTTTTGCTGGGACTTGAGGATTGGAATATAAATTGTTTAACGGTTATAAATACTGTATAGTCCCAAAGTATTTTATCTTTGTGAATGAGATGTTTTAAGGTATCGGATGGCATGTTTTATAACAATAAAAGTTAAGGATCTGTTGGAGGAGAAATAAACTATCCTTGAAATTCCCTGCAGTGTATACGTCTCGTTGAAAGCAGGTTTATGGTACAGAGGGGGTTTTACAACATGTATACCCTTTAAAAGTCTGTATGTAACTCACTGTATGATTCACTCACAGGCAGGGTTGCAAAATTCCGGGAATTTTCAAAGATGGAAACTTGCCCTGGGAATAAACGGGAATTTATGGGAATAAACTGGGAATTTTCAAAATTGAAGGTTGGCTCTTCATAGGGAACTTAAATATAGTTGGGGAAAGTACATTTTAGCATAATCTTGACTAAAACAAACAGATGCCATTCAAGTACACTTGAATATCCATGCCAGGCCCATAGCACACCGCTTACTGCATGGCTATTGAGACCACACCCCCTATAGGCACTGTGCATTCCTCCATTACATGCACAGATGAGTAATATTTAACTCAACATTCCTGTTTTCGTTCTTCAATTAAACAAATAATTGTTCAGTAAAATAAATAAAACTTGTTCCGTTAAAAAAATAAAAAAATCTGTTGAAATGTCATGTTTTTTGTTTAATTTTGCATCGAATATTTCCAAAATTCCCCAGCAGAACTTCCCGTGGAAACTTTCCGGAAATTTACCGGAAATGTTCCGCCCGTTTGCAACCCTACTCACAGGACAAGGCCATGCCATTGAAAGATCTTACACAAAATATTGTGTTATGTGCAATTGTTGCATGACTCTCTCTAGACAGGACTGATTTCAGGTCGCTGCAACCCATTTAACAAGGTGTTGTAATCTCAATAGTGCAAACACATATGCAGGTGTTCACTGGCGGCCTCAGGTATATGTTTAACATAGATAAGATATGGAGCAGCAGGAACATTTAAAGGCGGTGCATGAATACCAAGGACAGAATGGCTGACTAACAGAAAGATGTGGAAAACAGCAGTGGAGTGCATGAGACTGGCGGAAAATCAGGGTATTTGGAGGCAGATAGGGAGTCATCGAAGTGCCCCAAAGACCCTACGGGAGTAACCTATGGATGTATAAAGAGAATTGGATACGGGTCCACGAATGGAGTGACAGTAGATAAAAAAGTTCCTGGATCTGGGCCTATTGAGCACACTTGAGTTTTCCTTAAGCCCTAACTCCGATTTCCCGCTCTCGACTCAGTCAAATTAATGGAGAGGGGATTTAGCTTTTAGCACATTTCACAACTTTAAGACCCTAATGATTTGAAGAGGTCTATAACATTGATTTGAAGAGGTATTTAAAAGTGTTTGTACTGGGTAGTTTACTTAACTTAAAAAAATAATACAGATGTCTCTTTCCCAATGTATGGAGTAACCTAGGCCCCCAGAAAGTGTGCCGGATATTGAAGCAAATTCTATTCGCAGTGGCCAAACGGCGGTATTACATCTTCTGTCAGACAGCGATTTAATTGGGCTGAAAAAACGTTTTCCCGTTGTCATGTCTGTAAATCTACCCATCACGTACACTCTATAGCGCTTATTTAAATCATTAGGGTGTAAAAGTTGTAAAATGGGCTAAAAGCTAAATTCAGGATTATTTTACCTCTCCATTAATTTGACTGAGCCAAGAATAGGAGATAGGAGGCGAGGCTTAAGCAACACATAAGTGCCCATGCTCTATGGGCCCAGATACGGGTACTTTTAAAATAAGATGTTCTTTATTAATCACAATTTGGGAAAACATTTTTGTACTCGAGTCAGACCATTTTGGCTTCACACACTACTGAGCAACTTTCATTGGACAAAACGGGGTCCCACCTCCAACTCTGTATCCTGTTCTTTTCATAAATCCATAAAGTTACCTGACTTGACCCTCACTGGCAGGCCAGCTCCGGGTGGATGATCCACGGCCAGATGGCCAACATCTCCTGTGGCGTGCAGCTGTGCACCAGCATCAAGTTCCTGTAGACGCACGGGTTGTCCCTGTACTTCGCATCAATGCCAAACGTCCTGAAGCCTTCATGCTTCTCAGGAGCCAGGCCCAGCTTCTTCAGACACATCCCCGTGTAGACATCGTCAATGGGATAAAGCACCACCTGCCTGGATGCGTTGTGGAGACGCAGAGCCAACTCCCCCGAGTACAGATATCCTCCACCACCTGCATAAGTCGGGTATAGCCCCACAAACACACTCTCTGGGACAAAGTACTTGAGTCTCCGGTTCCTGTGAGGACCGGCGTCATTGATAACATCACCTATGAACAGATCCTTGGCTTTTTTCTCCGGCAGGCCCTCCAGGAGGTCTACAATCCGTACGGTGTTGACGAAGACGTCGTCGTCACCCTTCAGGATGAACTGGCCGTGGGGGCAGTGTTCGCTGAACCACTCCAGGAACAGGACCTCCTTCAGGGTGAGGTTGTAGAAGGTGTCCCGGTAGTCCCACTGGAGGACGTCTTTGTGGAGCTTCGCCTCGTGGTCCAGCATCCCCAGTAGGTCTGGGAAGTGATCCACGGGCAAGGTGTTGCCTAGCAGGAACACCGTCACCACTGAGCGATTAGCTATGACCCCCGCCCGACCCCATGTTTCACGGATGGCCTGCCGCCGGTCAAAGTGTGGGATCAGGGATTTGACCGCCAGCAGCAGGAAGGGTTTTCCCTTACAGATATGAGGCTGGTTTATCAGCATGGGGTATGTCCTGCAGCGCATGTGCAAAAGAAAATCCTGGAAGCCCTTTGGCAGGGAGTTGTAGTCCATAATTTGCATTGGGACTCTGTTATCCGGCTCACAGAGGTCAGGGGGCCCGGTGTTATTCAGCCAATCAGGCAGCTCGATGAGGGAGTCGCTCGAGAGCAAAGAGTTCACAATGGGGTTGAAGAGGAAGTCCAGGCGCTGCTGCTCCTTGTTCCAGAAGGATTTACTCTCTTCCTGCCTGTGCCAGAACCTCTCGGATGGGATTCGAACTTTGTGGCGGCCACTTTTGTGACGCCGGAGGTTCCACGTGACGCAAACCAGGAGGCAGACGAAGACGTTGAGCATCATGATCACGCAGAGCTTTCTGCGGCCTGCAGACATGATTCCTCCCCTCTGCGTCTATAGAAAGGACAGCAAAATTAAGAAAATCCATGAAAATCAACACAGAGCAGGAACAAATCTGCAGAATCAGGACTTACGACAAAGCCAAAAGGGACATTTGGAAACATGGAGAAAGATAAATCGACCCTGAAACTTTTATCAAAAATAAAACTAGATGAATTTGAAGCAGAAACTCAACAGGAAGCTTGATTTCACCACTGCTTGGTTTCAGAGCTCAAGACGGCTGCGAACAAGGCCGCATTTTAATCTCTGATCCTGAGAGGAACGGGCCCATTAGCATTTTCTCCTCACCCCCTCCTCCTCAATCACATGTTTCCAATTCAGCCGTGCACATGACGCTGGTTAACTGACAGCCGTTTTTGTTATTGTCCACTGACTGACACACGCAGATGAGCACTGTGCACTTTCATGAGAGATTGAGCATGCAGCAAAGCAACGTTTTTCAGTCACTTAAATACATGTAGAAACGTTTTGCCGTGGACAGAAGCCCTAAACAGTTATACCACTAGATGCCACTACTAAGTTTGTTTTTTGTGCAGATTGTATTTATTGAAAAACAGATGATGTTTAATTTACATTGCAGTCCCAACGTGTTTCCTACATAAAGTTGTAATTAAAAATGTTATTTTTAAATAGTAGAGATATAGTTATATGAGTCATTTTGAAATAAAAAACAGTTTCACATGAATATACTCATATATAATAGCAAGTGGAATAAAATGCAATAAGACGACACGTGTCCTACTTGATTGGGTCACATGATACGGAAGCAATTAAATAAAAACACTGCAGATTTTTCCTACACATTTCTATATGAAATAGAAGGTAGAATAAAGTCCAAGAAAATATGCGTGTCATATTTGTCCAGTGTAGTAATAATGTATGCTATGGATTGAGTTAATGGGCCACATGACATGGAAGGTATTGAAACATTTAATGAGAAACTGCTGCATCAAAATATTAATATAAAAAATAGAAGGTGGGACAAAAAAGAGGTGTGTCCCACTGTGTATAATAATACATATGCCTTTGTTTGAGTCATTAGGTCACATGACATGTAAGCTATATATCACCTGAGACAGTAGAGGGGGGTCAGTTGGGGCTGGAGACGCAGCGCTCTCCAGGTCTCATGTGGAGGAGCTGCAGGAAGGAGAACCACGTCTCCAACAAGAACCAGACGGTTGTTTCTGCATCCATCTGCAGTTAAACACAAAGACACATTAACCAGGAAGAAACTCAGCGAAGTGCAGGGATAATTTTGGTTATACATTGGGATTGTTTGTCCAAAGCGGCTACTAAGGTAATGTAAGCTTGCTATAATGATCTTCAGTTACACGCCTTTAGAGTAGACCAATCACACAGAAGTGAAGCAACACTTGCAGACTGTCAAAATGAAAATCAAAGTTTACTTAAGGGCAAAACTTAATTTACTGCCAGAGCCTGAGCAATGTTTACAGAGTGGTAGGACTTTGTATAAAAGCTGTAAAATATTAATTATTTATCAAACTGCAGAGCTGTAAAACTTTAATTGTAAAATGTTCATTTTGTTTATATAGTATATTAATTTTATATATTAACAAATGAAGGTTACTGCCATGTGTTTTTATTATAAATCAGGGGACATTCATCTTTTTCCCCTTTTGACGTCCATTATAACTTCAGAATACAAAACTGCAAAACACAATCTTTGAGTAATGATTTTAAAATCTGAGTTTTAAGATTAATAGCAGAGTTTATTTTAATATTGTACATCAGGAATTATATTTAAGTTATTTTACTTTTGACATTATTCACATGTGGACTGAACTCAAATAAACTGTTCACATTTGGCCCTAATCCTCTTCCGTAGCTTACACTGACAGATGCGATGGACTCATTCTATTACGAATTACACTTTATTGCTGTTTTCTCTAAAGTTAGAGCCCTTTTCTACACTATAACACAGAAACAACAGGAATAAACACTTGATTTATTCAACACATGCCATGCAAGTTATACCACACAGTAGCCTACTATCTACAAGTACAAAGTCAAACTGCTCTTGTTTTTGTACTTTAAGATCTACTCAGCGGTCAAACTCTGTGTTAAATGTACGGTTATTTCGCATATCTGCGCAATAAAAACAATACAAACGTTGGGAGTTATATGTGTGTGACTAACTTACCTCTTAGATCGCCTCCGCACGTCCTCGTTGTGAAATCAAATTAAAAGGCAGATCAACAGGCTGCAGCTCGTGCACCTGAACTCACCCTCATTCCTTCCTTCACGCGGCGCGTATTTTGGAGATCAACTGCGCACTAATCCTCATTCACTAAAATACGAACACTGAAACCCTTTCCAATCTTTAAATATCCAACAGACAGGTCACATCCTCTGTTCACTGAGGGGGAAAGGTGGAGAAGTTTAGCCGAAGTGAGAGACTCCCCTGCGCTCAGACTCCTCCCTCAGGTTGCATGGCTGCAGTTCCAAAAGTGTTGCAAGGATTCCCAAGTGCAAAACACACACCCTCCCCTTTTTACCCAACTCTGGGCTGACGTGTAGTGGTAGGCAAATACTCAGATCTTGTAAAGAAGTATTACTACTAATACAATACTGTAGACATATTATGTTGTAAGTTAAATACCTGCTAAAAAAAGTTCAGTGTATCAGCATCAAAATGAACTTAACCCTTACATGCATAAGTGGGTCTTTTTTGACCAGGTGAGGTGGTTTTCTTAGAATATCTTTGTAATTAAAAAAATTCATAATTTCATATTCCAGCTATCCCTCAAAAAACATATGTTGGATATCATGCGATTCAAATTTTACATTGACATTTTAAGAAATTGTAGTTTTCGTATTACTACCCCAAGCTTCCATAAGTGGGTCTTTTTTGACCCGGTTAGGTGGTTTTCTTGAAGTATCTTTGTAATTACATTTTTTTATCATTTCATATTCCAGCTATTCCTCAAAAAACATGTGTTGGATATCATGCCATTCAAATTTACATTTTAAGAAATTGTAGTTTTTGTATTACCACCCCAAGCTTCCATAAGTGGGTCAAAAAGGACCCACATGCATTTTCTATGGAATTTCGTTTTTTTCAAAATTCAATTTAAAAAAAAAAATTATAAATAGTGAAAAATTAAATATAAAATATTTCTAGTGTGAACCAAAATATATTACTAAATATTATACAAGTGATTTTACTTAACCAAAATGACAAATGGAATAAAAACACATGTTATTCTAATACGGGTCCTTTTAGACCCACTTATGGAAGAGTGTAGTCAGTCACTCTAAGGGCATCGAAGGGTTAAAGAACAAAGATTAATCCTGCAAAATAATGTTTACAATTTATATTTTGTAATCATTGCTGTGGTCATTAGTTGAATGTTGTAGATGCAAAAATAGGGTTTTTATATTTTTTTATGTATGCATAAATACTAATCTTAACCTATAATAATGCTGTAGTGTTGGAGAGAGGGAACACAGGGATATTAGCTTTTGCAGACCATTACATACACAAAAACCACTACAGGTCAGGAAAGGGAAAACTCCAGAAGTATAATTGGGCTCATTTAATATCTGTCTGCAGCTTTCCTGTCCTGTGAGAACCACATACCTCTAAAAGTCCACTTTTCACGACATTTATCGAAAAAAACCACCCTGTGTTCAGCTTTGTGGAGAAGCATTATCCAGCTGAAGGGTTTTTAAATAGCTTATTTAACTTCAGAAGTAGGAGAATGTTATCAACACATAAAGGGAACACTTACGTTCATCACAAACATCTGGAGATACATGGTTTTTACTGGAGGAAGTAGATGGAAAACTGAGCTAGCTAACTAAAACGAACAATGTTTGTTTATTTTGAAGTAGCAGTTGTCTTATCAACGCAGTTTGAGTCCATCTCCACGTCTTCACCCATAAATCACCCCCCCGCCTCATCGAGACGTCAACAGTTTATGAGACATGACACGCTGATGATTAGAAGTAAAGGTGATGAGATGTTCCAACCAGATGTCTGAGACGTTTATTACAAAGCATTAATGACAATTACAAGGAAATATTTACATTGAGCAGTTCTTCAAAAGTGATTAATTAAGTTCAAAAGTGCACAAACATATATTCCTCTGAGCCCTGCAAGCACTGACAAATCCTCTTTATATTATAAATGATACTTTAGATTGAATTCTCTTTGTATTTATGGCCGTCAAACAACAAACCTGACCTTTGTTTCAGATGTTGCGCCACTATAACTGAAAATAAAAAATAAATGAATCAAGGATTTTGCATTATGATGGAATCAAAACACAATAATTATGTGTGTAAGCATATTCAATACAGTATAGGCAGCTAGAGTATATCCCAATAATCTCCAACATGATCTTGTGTTGGGTTGTAAATGCAATCTCGAAAGCAACAGCAGGGGTTTTATGGTTTATACTTTATTGATTTAAGAGTTTGTTTATCAGGCATTTTATTGCTTGTCAGTGTCAGCCACCTCTGGAGCAATATAACCTCTGCACTGAACACAGACACAGACAAACACTGCATCCCACTGGATCTGACTGAATCAGTGGAGTGGAGGTTTAACTAACTGCATTTATATAAACACTCTTAACCTGAACTAAGGAATCAAGCCCTTAATCAAACTGTTCAAGTGCTGCTGAGGTCCTGCAGGCTTTTGTTCCTCTTAAGAATTAATGGGCCACGTGTAATCTACACCTGCAGGCAGTCTACCTGACACCAGGTAGCTCAGAAAGGGATGATCGCACCATTTCCTTAAAGGAGCAGGACGCTGTAAACTCTGTTCAGGTACATGGCAATCACCATGGTAACAACAGAGCGCTCTCATCAGTCTAACCTGATACTGTCAGCTATACTTTCAGCTAAATGCTTATGTTACCTTGCCAACATCTTAATAAGTGTTCTATGCATCATATAGTCACTTGTAGGGATGAATACAGTTGTATTGAATTACATATTTGAATGAAAGGCTAACATGTTGTTAGCATTAGCTACTAAGTCAGAGGAAAAAAATCATCATGATTCGAGCTAAATGCTAACATTAGCTCAAGTGAGCATTTTTACATTTATGCTAAGAAACATATTCAGAATATTGGCAAAATATCATTTTATGCTAATGTTAGCATTTTATCACAGGTTTATTATAAACCTGTAGATTGAGTAGCTAAGGCGTTAACATTGAATGCAAATTATTGCTTTTATTTAACAGTTTCTTCTCCATAAACAGCATCAGTTGAAAATTGTTCAACTCAAAGTTGTTGACCAAATGTGCGCCGTCTGTTAATATCAATGCTTTTCAGTTCTTTTGCATCTTTGTGTTGACTTTTAATGCATTTTCAGTCAAAAAACTTCAGTTTATGATCAGTCTGAACTTTAGATCTAAAGCTGCATCACCCTCTTCATCATTTTCAGATTACGTTGCAGTGTTTACTTTAATGACTTTTGTTTCTGTTGCATTATATAATAAAAGAACATGCTTGAAAATGTTGCTTTAACCTACTTAATTTGCAAAGATTTAGACCCTTTCTACACACTTTCAGAAAGGGAATAAAGAAGGAAAGCTCTTATTTAAAAAAAAAAACGAAACAATTCAGCACTTTGAGTAATTGTTGGTTGAAAAAACAAACGCTTTTTTGGTCCATAAAAAAGACCCTTAATAAGTGGACAAGTCAATATGACAAGTTGTATTGAAATGAGGATTATGCTTCTCATACGGTATGTCTTTCAAAAGTCTGTAGGCAGAGCCATGTTGGATCCATCCTGGCATATCAGCAGAGAGGAAACCGTTATTTTCTCCGAGACAGAAACCCACCTTCCCATTTCTCCGCTGCCTGAGGAAAACCTCTCTTAAAGTTTCAGGTGCGAGGAACGATTCTGTCGATGCTCTGCTGGATTTCAGACATCTTCTTCAGCACCTGGTTGACTTTGGCTTCATCAAACTCCAGACACACGAACTCTGAGTCCTGAGAGAGGCAGACGACATTTCAGTAAAACACCTTATAAAACTCAGAGTGCAGACATTGAATTTCACTCAGATTTTTGGCACTTTTTCCCAATATCTCCCCCCCAATAAATAATAGAAATGGCTTTTATGTACACAAGCATGTATAACAATAGGGGAAACCACATTATATAAATAGCACCAATGGCATATATAAAGATGTATTTAAAATTGAATGGATTAATGACAACACCTACATCTCAAATATCTAGATTTTTGGAAAATATTGTACAGCTATAAAAAAATAAACAATTAACACTGAATTTTTGCCTGATAATTATCACACTTTTAAATGTTCTTTAGTATCAAAGAGATCCAGGGATAGCTCTTTTTGCATCTGTGTTTACAATGCAAATAGGAGCTGCTAATATTGCTCGTACTATACATACTTTATTAATACTTGGCATATTTAAAAAATGTTAAATGGTACTTCTTTCCAGATACTGTAGTTACAAAAAATAAATAAATATCAAAGTAAGACATAGTACTTTTTCATGTTGGACTAAAATGTCTTGGACAGTGCTAATTACACGTATTTCTTAATACACAGATATTTAAAACATGTGTGCATATAGATAAACAAAGCTGGTGTCTGCAGGGTCCCACAGACTCGGACTATCTTCTCTGTACAACACGACCCCCTTCTGACTGACCTGCACTGCGTTCATCACATGATACTGAAAAATGGATGAAGCCCGCTACAGCTATAATGTGAGTGACTCCCATCTGCCACCATCTTTGTCTTCCTTTATTGTTCTCGTACCGCGATGATCCCCCTGCTGGTTTCTATTTTCTATTGTCTGTGTCTCTTAGCACAGAGCATGAGATATTACTACAAACATAAGCAATACTGGAATATATAAACATTGGTGGTAAAATGTTTTTTGCAAACTTTATTAAGATTCAAGTTGACATGTATTCATGATTAAATAAATTGGTGTCTAAACGCTGCAAATGCAAATTAGAAATCGAAGCTCTGGGAGAGTTTTTTTGTATCTATAAGATAAGTAATAATAGTTCATACTTTTAATATAATAAGGACTGCAACTTATGATTGTTTCTTTTATCAATTCACCTTGTGTCTTAATTAGTTTGTCTACCAATTAAAAGTCTTACAGTCTTAAATTGACAGAAAATAGGGGAAAAAGCAAAAAACTACAACCTAAAATCCCTATAGCTGTGTCTATTTAAAATATAAAATACAGAAAAATAATAAAACCTCACTTAACAGTCTTAAAAACATGCATGTATTTACTGTAGCTAAGAGTGTAGTAAGTCTAAAATAATAATAAAACAGTAATTAATAATCTTGAATGAGAGAGTTTGAAAAAAGTTGCCTGAAAACATTTAGCATAAATTATTAAAATCATATTCAAAATAGTTAATTATTATTTTCCAGTTTTTTTACTAAAAGTTTCATCAGATCATATTTTTAGGGAACAAAA